CTGAGCAGTAGAGCTTACTTAAAAAAAAAAAAAAAAAGTAAGATCTCAACGAAAGGGGTAGTAAGTAGATGGCACTACTACTTTAAGATGTGAGAGAGGTACTAGTTCAACATTTTGCAAATGAAGGCAATTTTTTGAGGAATTGATGGTTTTCAAATACTGTTTTACAATTTTAAAACTGTAGAATTGTCGGGGCGCCTGGGTGGCTCAGTTGGTTAAGCGACTACCTCCAGCTCAGGTCATGATCCTGGAGTCCCGGGATCGAGTCCCACGTCGGGCTCCCTGCTTAGCAGGGAGTCTGCTTCTCCCTCTGACTCTTCCCTCTCATGCTCTCTCTCATTCTCTCTCTAATAAATAAATAAAATCTTTAAAAAAAAATAAAAATAAAACTGGAATTGTCAAGCCTATTAATCTTTAAAGATCACTTGTACTATTCTTAACATAAAAACCCTTTTTAGAAGGGGGTCTAATGTAACTTGCAGAAAATACCTATAAAGAATATTCTGCACATTATACTGCTTTCTCGCCACACTTTTTTTTAAAGTACAATAATTTATTTATTTATTCAAGATTTTATTTATTTATTTAGCAGAGAGAGAGAGAGAGAGACAACGAGAGAGGGAACACAAGCAGGGGGAGTGGGAGAGGGAGAAGCAGGCTTCCCGCCGAGCAGGGAGCCTGATGTGGGGCTCGATCCCAGAACCCTGGGACCATGACCTGAGCCGAAGGCAGACGCCTAACAACTGAGCCACCCAGGCGCCCCTCTCGCTACACTTCTGAAAATTTTTTTTAAAGATTTTATTTATTAATTTATTTGTCAGAGAGAGAGGGAGAGAGCGAGCCCAAGCAGGGAGAGCAGCAGGCAGAGCAGTTAGAACAGGCAGAGGGAGAAACACGCTCCCCACCGAGCAGGGAGCCCGATGTGGGACTCCATCCCAGGACCTTGGGATCATGACCTGAGCTTAAGGCAGTCGTGCTTAACCAACTGAGCCACCCAGGCATCCCTGCAATTGTTTTAAATGGACTTGAAGTTTTCATACTATGGCTTGGAGGAGCAATAAAGTATGCTAAAACAATTTAATCTAAAATACATATAAATGACTATACTTAAAACAAAAAAGTTACACTACTTAAAGGCATTTATTATCAGATACTGCAAAAAAAGTAACACCTCCAATCAATGATAATAGCTATAATTGACCAGATATTTATTCCTTAAATCATCATTAATCCCACCATTCATCTGGCAAAGTAGGCTTTAATAGCCCTATTTAACACAAGAAGCAACTGAGGCTCCATTAAGATAAATAACTAACTTGAGGCCAGAGTCTAACAAGTAGCAGAGCTAGGAGCCCCCCAGAATCTTTGGATCTGAGCTCTGCACCAGGAAGGGTTACTTAATCTTTCGCCTTTTACTATTGGCTGGGAGGCTGGTGCAGGTTTGCAACAGACTATTTACTGATTTATATAAAAATGAGGAAAAATAAGAAGAAAGCAAATAAAGCTAAATGATTCAATTTAAAGTCTTTTACTCTGAAATTCTGTCCTTTCAAATTATTTGAGTTAAAATATCCTTTTTATAAATGAAATGATGGTGAAAGTAGCTAGTGATGTGGGTTACTGTTGCTGTTTTTATTGGCTATACCTGGCAAAACAAAACAAAACAAACTGGCAACTCCACTGCACCCTCCCAATATGGGAATCATTTTTGAAATCCAAAGTCTAGGGGTACCTGGCTGGCTCAGTCAGTGGAGCATGCAACTCTTCATCTCAGGGTTGTGAGTTCAAGACCCACATCAGGTGTAGAGATAACGTAAAAATAAAATCTTTAAAAAAAAAAAAAGAAAAGAAAAAAAAATCCAACATCTGGGAACTACTCCCTTAGACAATGATGCCTCCCAAAATACTAGAAGACTTTACATACACACACACACACACACACACACCCTCAAGATTCTCTCATTAATCTCTATTCTATTTGGATCAAGACACTTAAGGATTGAGAATGAGAATAAAGTGAGTTTTATTTATTTATTTAATCCAAAGTCATGTGAGTTAACACTGGGTTCTGGGAGGACTTTCCTCGGGATTCTTTTCATTGGGTAACTTTTCTCATCCTTTATCTGCAATTCTACTCACTCTAACCCGGGCTCAGACTTTCTTTTCCTAAGATAATCACATTTTTTAATACTTCTGCTAAGTAGCAATCAATACGTAGGTCAAATAAAAAGAATTAGTTGAGGTCTCCAATAATCTGATTTTATTTAAAGTCACTCTGACAAAATAAAAACTTTTAACGATGTTTATTCTACATACTTAAAAAACAATTGGTTTATTAATCAGACTGAAGCCACTTTAATTTCCAAGTTTCTGTACTTCTGTTAAATACATTCATATATACATATACACACACATAGACATATGTCTGGTACATAACACACATGTAGCTTTGCAAGTAGTTTATAGACAGGCTTATCAAACCAAATAAATTTCTTGAAAAGAATTTTATTGTTTATGGCAAATAAGCTATTTACTCTTTTTGTTAGCCATGTCTTATTTCTTACCTATCCTCCTTTAGCGAGCATCGATTTTAAAATATTTTATGTACACAGCTACACAATTAAACATTAGTTCCAGTCACATATTAAATTCACATTTAAAACTATAAAGAGATCCAGTTATTTTTAGTCTTACATACTTATATATACTTAGTACACTTATATATAGTTTTAATATTCTACTTGATGTCATTTATATTATTCTATGGTACTTTATTAAAAATTTTTAAAAGAGCACAAAAACCTGGATCTTATAGGATATGTAACTGAAAATATTTATAGTCTATACTTATTGCATGGTTCAAAAACACTCCTTTTTAAAGGCAAGTCAATTTTTAAAAAAATGTAGGCGCCTGGGTGGCTCAGTTGGTCAAGCGACTGCCTTCGGCTCAGGTCATGATCCTGAAGTCCCAGGATCGAGTCCCGCATCGGGCTCCCTGCTCAGCGGGGAGTCTGCTTCTCCCTCTGACCCTCCCCCCTCTCATGTACTCTCTCTCTCTCATTCTCACTCTCTCAAAATAAATAAATAAATCTTAAAAAAATTTTTTTAAAAACGTCACCATACAATTTGGATAACATAAAGCATTCTTTCCACGCTCACAAGTTAAAAGGTCCAGTTAAATTTATTATAGACTACAACGCTTGCAAATCTAAAACTGTAATAATTTTGCCTAAATTCCATACTAATCTAGTATCAAGTTATTTTTATTTCCTTTTTTATTTTTTAATTTTTCTTAGTTTTTTATTTCCTTTTTTAAAAAATTACTTGTAATATACCGCTGGATAGTCGTTTCACTATGTATTTATTAAACTAACTTCAGGCCAAGATACTTTTAAGTATAAAAGTCCTTTCCAATGGAAGTGAAATAAACATAAAAATGTTCGCATAAAATACACTCTGTGGTTCTCAAAGGGATGCTGAATCTATTAAAGTCTATTGACGTGTTTCAAAATATACTCAACCAAAAATGTGAGCTTTTTGTCACATTGATATACTTTAACTGTTAACTAATATCTACATTTTAAACATATTGTGTTTAATGTAGCAATAATGATGATTATTTTCCCACTTAAGCAACAGGATTTTGGTTTAAGGGCAAATGAGATAGCGCTGTCTAAGTGGAAAAGACTGGCAGCCTGAAGTTTGTAAATTGTAACAAGACAAACTCCAATACTTGCTTGTTCATGTAATCACCAATATGTAGGTCAAAATAAACTAGTGAGCTATACCTTACAGTCTACCTAGCAATTTACAGATCAACAGGAGGGGAAGAAACTGCTCAAATATAACTACTGTTAAGAAATGTGAAATATTAAGCATAGTATGTCTCTATAAAAATTGTAACCTATCAATTCTGAAGTCATTTCTTTCACTTTTGCTACTTTTAATGAACTCTCCTCAATAATTTTTTTAAAAAAGGCAGTCACTTTAAGATGTAAATTCCTTTTTTTTTTCCAAAGTAACTTGCCTAGGAAAATCTAGTGCAGCAAATAGAATGTAACAGACAAATCACTACAACATTTTTAAAAACCTAAAGTTATCAGTAAAACAAACCAATCCCTCCACTTAGGCGTGTATTTTTAATCTTCTCTGCGTATCCCATTATACTAATCAACAAGGTTTAAAAGTCAGTCTAATGCCCCAAACATTATCACTACACTTGACATACTCCTATTTTAGGCAAATGAAGCTTAAACTAGACCCAAAGTCTGGCCAATTCCCCCTCTCCGGCACACTGAAATATACAAGGGGGAAATCCAAGAAATCAGATATATTAAGTGCCCGTATCTTCTTCCAGAGTAGGGTCAAATTCGTGTTTGCCTGCAAATGTCACCATCTCAAGAAGTCTGCAAATTCTCATTAGCGCTACAGAGTACAAAGAGGCCTGACCACAGAAACACCTGTCCTAGCACCAGGAAGACAGTGGGAAATGCAAACCCCCGAGTCCACGCCGGCCGCACAGCCTCCGGCTGCAGCGAGCCCGGACGAGGGATGGGCAGTGACCTCACCGCTCCCTAGGGCAGGGTCCCACACTCCTGACCCGCCTCCCCCAGCAAGAACTAGGAAATCTGTCAAGTCGGCCGGGACCCGACCCACCATCGGCGAACCCCTCTCGCTCCTTCGCAGCCCAGCCCCAGCCTGCCCAACTGCTCCCGGTCCGCTCCGGCCTCCCGGCTACACTCTGCCACCTCATCCCTCCTCGCCGGTCTCGCGGCCCCGCCACCTCCACCCCGGCGGCCTGCACTCGGGCCGCCCCTCGGGCCGGAGCCCCCCCGGCCGCCGCCCCCAGCCCCGGCCAGGCTCGCAGCGCCGTCGGTCCCTCCGCGGCCCGGTCCCCGCCGCCCCCCCCAGGCCCGAGCTCCCGCCGCGCGCTCCCCACCCCCAGCCTCCGCCCTCACCCAGCTCGGCCGCTCCCGGCCCGCTCCCCCAAGCCGGGCTACCTGGAGGCAAGGGCGGCGGAGCACTTCACCCAGGGCCCCAGGTCGCAGAGGGCCCGGTGCTCGGGGTCCCGCTCCTTCTCCCGCTCCACGTGGTAGGCGTAGATGGAGAGCAGGATCCCGGCGGCGCACACTGCATACCGGGCCACCCGCTCCCACCGCGGCACCGACACTCTCAGCAGGACAGGCGCCGCCATCTTCCCCCCTCCGCCGCCGCCGCCGCCTCCTTCGCCGCCGCCGCCGCCTCCCTCCGCCTCCACCTCAGCCGCCGCCGCCCGTCGGGGCCCGACCCAGCCGCCGCCGCGCCGCCGCCGCCGCGCCCCATTGGTTCTACCGCCTCCTCTGGGCCCCGCCCCCACAGGCGCGCGGCCCAACCGCCCCGAAAGGAGAGAGCCCCGCGGGGCGGGGAAGGCGCGCGCGGGCGCGGAGGGAGGGGGCGGAGCGCGCAACCGTCGGGAGGCCGGGCCCGCAGGCGGAGACAGAGGCGGCGCGGCGCTCGCAGCGGGCGGGACCGAGGGGAGGGGCGTGGTCATAGGGAAAGAGGGGCGGGGCTCGGGGCGGGGCGGGGCGGGGCCTGAGGGCCTTAGGGGATAGAGTGCAATGAATAATAAATTTGAAAGATACCACCCAGTGTGACTGAGTAAGCCCTTGGCCCCTCCCCCTGGGAGGTGGTGATCAATTGCCATCGTATTTTCCTTTTTTGTCATTAACATTTGATATTTTTTGACCCAATCCAAATTAACCCTGGCCAATGCCCAGAGCTCCAGAGCCATGTTTCCATTACCTGATGTTCCCCAGCACAACCTCCAAGCACCTCTGTGCTCAACAGGTGCAAACTTAAATATTTTTTTTAATTATTTATGAAAAAAACAAAAAATTTATTTATGAATGCCTTGCTTCTCTGTAAGGTGAACTTGAGATGACTTAACATAATTAATGTAATATAGAAAAATGTAAAAATGAACTGAGAAACCAGGACAAAGAAAAAGACCAGTCAGAATAAAAGGAAACAACAGGAGTAAGAACACAGATAAGCAGGTCATAGGGTCTTGCATAATTATTAAAACTGAACCATAAATTTGGCTCTGAGGTTCCTGGTGTGTGATTGTCACCATCTCTGAGAAGAAAGAAACACACCATTCCTGGAGATGGCCAGCTTTTCCCTGGTTGCAGCTCTCAAAGAGAATTCAGGAGCTTTATATAGTGATTTTGAGTAATAAGTAATGTCCTTGTATTATCTATTGTTGGGTAACAGATACCCCAACTTTAGCAGCCTAAAACAAAAATCCCTTATTTTCTCACAATTTCTGTGTGTCAGGGATGTGGGTGCCATTTTGCTGGGTCCTCTGGCTCAGGGTCTCTCACAAAGCTGCATTCAACTCAGCCAGGGCTGCCAGCATCTCAAGGCAGGAGAATCTTCTTTCAAGCTCACTCAAACGTCATGGGCAGGCCTCAGGTCCTTCATTAGTTCCGGCCACTTGTACCTCTCCATAAGAAGTTGCTATCTTCCCCTAGCGCAAGGAATGAGAGGGAAATAGAAGTCACAGTTTTTGTCGTAATCTAATCTCAGAATAGATAGTCAATCACTTTTACTTATTCTATTACTTAGAAGCTAGTCCACAACCTAAGTGTCCATCAAGGATGAATGGATAAAGGGGTGCCTGAGTGGCTCAGTCGGTTGAGCGACCAGGTCTTGGTTTCAGCTCAGGTCATGATCTCATGGGTCGTGGGACCGAGCCATGTGACGGGGTCCCACTCAATGGGGATCATATGGCCACGATGGAGCCCCACCACGAAGGAGCCCCTCCACGGTAGAGCCCCGGGACCATCGAGCCCCCCAGCAGGCTGTGCTCAGCTGGGAGTCTGCTTGAAGTTTCTCTCCCTCTGCCCCTCCCCCTGCTCTCTCTCTCTCTCTCTCAAATACATACATACATAAATAAATAAATCTTTAAAAAAAAAGGATGAATGGATAAAGAAGATGTGGTATTGTACATACAATGGAATATTATTCAGCCATAAAACTGAAGGAAATCCTATCATTCGAGACAACATTGATGAATCTTGAGGACACTACTGTAAGTGAAATAAGTCAGGCCGAGAAAGACAAATACTATACAATCTCACTTGTATGTGGAGTCTAAAAAAGCCAAACTCAGAAACAGATAGTAGATTGGTGACTGGCAGAGGCTGGAGGGTGGGGGAAATGGGAAGATGTTGGTCAAAGGGTACAAACTTCCAATTATAAGATGAATAAGTTCTGGGGGTCGAAGTTACAGCATGGTGAATGTAGCTAATAATACTGTATTATATGCTTGAAAGTTGCTAGGAGAATAAATCTTAAACATTCTCACCACATACACATACAAAAGGTAATTACATGAGGCGATGAATGTGTTAACGGACCTTATTGTGGTAGTCATCTAACAATACGTATGCATATCAAATCACATGTTGTATACTTTAAACTTATACAATGTTATATGCCAATTATTTCTTTTTTTTAAAGATTTATTTATTTATTTTGAGAGAGTGAGAATGAGAGAGAGAGAGAGTACATGAGAGGGGGGAAGGTTAGAGGGAGAAGCAGGCTCCTCGCCGAGCAGGGAACCCAATGCGGGACTCGATCCTGGGACTCCAGGATCATGACCTGAGCCGAAGGCAGTTGCTTAACCAACTGAGCCACCCAGGCACCCGCCAATTATTTCTTAATAAAGCTAGAGGAGGAAAAAAGATGCTAGTCTCTAGGTCCAGTCCGCATTGCACAAAAGCATGGAAACCAGGAGAGGGGATTACTGGGAGTTATCTTAAAGGCTGCCTACCACAGTCCTCAAAAAGATCACCACTCTTAACTCTCTAGTGGTTTCTGTAAATCTGAGCGAAGTCATTCTCCTGCAACCCCCCTCCTTCTATATTCCTTTCCTGACTTGGTGAGATCCGTTGATCATCTGGCTTCTTTCATCCATCATTATGTGTGTGAGGTTTATCCATGCTATTGTACACAGTTATTGTTATTTCTCATTGCTGTGTTATAGTTCATTATATGAATAACCCCTATTTTACTTTATATCTTTTTTTTGTTTCAAATTCTTATTTAAATTCTAGTTAGTTAACATATAGTGTAATATTGTTTTCAAGAATAGAATGTAGTGATTCATCACTTATATATAACACCCACTGCTCATCATAACAAGTACCCTCCTTAATACCCGTCATCCAATTAGCCCATCCCCGCACCACCTCCCTCCATCAACCCTCAGTTTGTTCTCTATAGTTAAGAGTCTCGTATGGTTTGCCTCCTTCTCTCCTTTTTTTTTTTTTACCCCTTCCCATATGTTCATCTGTTTTGTTTCTTAAATTCCACATAGTGTGAAATCATATGGTGTCTCTTACTGACTTATTTCACTTAGTATAATACACTCTAATTCCATCCACGTCATTGCAAATGGCAATATTTCATTCTTCTTAATCGCTGAATAATACTCCAGTGTGTGTGTGTGTGTGTGTGTGTGTGTGTGTATACACCACATCTTCTTCATCCATTCATCAGTTGATGAACATTTGGGCTCTTCCCATAATTTGGCTATTGTGATAAGGCTGCTATAAACATCAAGGTACGTGGGTCCCTTTGAATCAGTATTTTTGTATCCTTTGAGTAAATACCTAGTAATGCAGTTGCTATATCATACAGTAGTTCTATCTTTAACTTTTTGAGGAACCTACATACTGTTTTCCAGAGTGGCTGCACCAGTTTGCATTCCCACCAACAGTGTAAGAGGGTTCCCCTTTCTCCACATCCTCACCAAGAGATGTTCCAAACAACAGATGTTGTTTCCTGAGTTGTTAATTTTAGCCATTCTGACTGGTGTGAGGTGATATCTCATTGTGGTTTTGATTTGTATTTCCTTGATGATGAGTGGTATTGAGCATCTTTTCATGTGTCTATTGGCCATCTGTATATCTCCTTGAAAAAAATATCTATTCATGTCTTCTGCCCATTTTTTGATGGGATTATTTGTTTTTTGGGTGATGAGTTTGGTAAGTTCTTTCTAGATTTTGGATATCAGCCCTTTATCAGAGACGTCATTTGCAAATATTTTCTCCCATTCTGGAGGCTGCCTTTTAGTTTTGTTTGTTTCCTTCACTGTGCAGAAGTTTTTTTATCTTGATGAAGTCCCCATAGTTCATTTTTGCTTTTGTTTCCTTTGCCTCTACAGACGTGTCTAGTAAAAGGTTGCTATGGCCGACATCAAAGAAGTTGCTGCCTGTGTTCTCCTCTAGGATTTTATGGTTTCAGGCCTCACATTTAGGTATTTAATCCATTTTGAATTTATTTTTGTGTATGGTGTAAGAAAGTGGTCCAGTTTCATTCTTTTGCATGTTGTTGTCCAGTTTTCCCAGCACCATTTGTTGAAAAGACTTTCTTCCATTGGATATTCCTTCCTGCTTTGTCAAAGATTAATTCATCATATAGCCATGGATCCATTTCGGGGTTTTCTATTTTGTTCCATTGTTCTATGTGTCTGTTTTTATGCCAGTACCATACTGTCTTGTTGACTACAGCTTTGTAGTATAGCTTGAGGTCTGGAATTGTGATGCTTCCAGCTTGCTTTTCTTTTTCAGGATTGCTTTGACTATTTGGGGTCTTTTCTGGTTCCATACAAATTTTAGGATTGTTTGTTGTAGCTCTGTGAAAAATGCTGGTGGTATTTTGATAGGAATTGCATTAAATGTGTAGATTCCTTTGGGTAGTATAGACATTTTAACGATGTTTGTTCTTCCAATCCGTGAGCATGAACGTTTTTCCATTTCTTTGTGTCTTCTTCAATTTCTTTCATAAATGTTCAGAGTACAGTTCTTTTACCATCTTTGGTTAGGTTTATTCCTAGGTATGTTATTATTTTAGGTGCAATTGTAAATAGGATTAATCCTGATTCCTTGATTCCTTTTTCTGCTGCTTCATTATTGGTGTGCAGGAATGCAACAGATTTCTGTATGTTGATTTTATATCCTGTGGCTTTGCTGAACTCATGTATTAGTTCTAGCAATTTTTTGGTGGAGTTTCTCGGGTTTTCTAAATAGAGTATCATGTTGTCTGCAAATAGTGAAAGTTTGACTTCTCCCTTGCAGATTTAGATACCTTTTATTTCTTTTTGTTGTCTGATTGCTTAGTCTAAGACTTCCAGTACTATGTTAAATAACAATGGTGGACATCCCTGTCTTATTCCTCTCCATAACCACAATTTTATCTATCCATTCTCTCCACTGTTGATAGACATTGATCCTGTTTTAGCTGTTACGAATTAAGTTGCTAT